CTGGTGCGGAGAGGAACAAGGGGAGCGTGTTGTTCCTTCTCCTCCCCCTCTCCCTGCTCCTCCTCCTCATCCTCCTCCTCCTCTTCCTCCTCCTCCTCCCCCTCGTCTTCATACTCTTCGTCCAAGTGGTAGCATTAGTAGTATCGTTAGTATTAGTAGTATTATTGTTCGTTATACTCATTGTTGGCAGTATTATTGGTATTAGTACAACTGTTAGTATTCATAATTTTCGTACGGTTGTTATTTTTATAACTATGAGTATTCGTATTACTATTCGTCTGCGCCTTCGTACTCTACGCATATTCACATTCTCCATAGCATTACCATTATTCGCATGATTGTTATTAATATGGTTGTCCTTATTCGTAGGTTTACTCTTCTTATTCTTATTATTATTTTTCTTCTTATTTTTATTATTCTTATTAGTATTCTTCTTCTTCTTCTTGCTCTTATTCTTCTTATTCTTCTTATAAGTATTATTATTCTTCGTATTCGTCCTCCTCCTCCGACTCCTCCTCCGACTCCGACTCCGACTCCGACTCCTCTTCCTCCTCCTCCTCCTCCTCATCCTCCTCCGCCTCATCCTCCTCCTCCTCCTCCTCATCCTCCGCCTCCTCCTCTTCCTCCTCCTCCTCCTCCTCCTCCTCCTCCTCCTCCTCCTCCTCCTCCTCCTCCTCCTCCTCCCCCTCCTCCTCTTCTTCCTGCTCCTCCTCCTCCTCCTTTTCCTCCTGCTCCTCCCCCTCCTCCTCCTCCTCATCATCAGCAGCATCATCATCACATCACCACCATCACCCTCATCAGCATCAGCATCAGCATCAGCATCAGCATCAGCATCAGCATCAGCATCAGCATCATCATCATCATCATCATCATCATCATCATCATCATCAGCATCATCATCATCATCATCATCATCGTCATCATCATCATCATCAGCAGCATCATCATCACCATCAGAATCAGCATCAACATCAGCATCATCATCCGCATCATCATCATCATCTTAATCATCAGCATCATCATCAGCATCATCATCATCGTCGTCGTCATCATCATCATCATCACCAGCAGCATCTGCATCAGCATTAGCATCAGCATCAGCATCATGATCACCACCACGACCGCCATCATCATTATCATCATCATCAGCATCATTAGCATCATCATCAGCATCATCACCATCATCAGCATCATCATCATCATCAGCATCATCCCCATCAGCATCATCATCATCATCAGCATCATCATCAGCAGCATCAGCATCAGCATCATCAGTAGCATCATCATCATCAGCATCAGCATCAGCGTCAGCATCACCATCAGCATCAGCATTAGCATCAGCATCATCATCATCACCAGCAGCATCGTCATCATCATCGTCATCAGCTTCATCATCAGCATCATCATCAACATCAACACCATCAGCATCATCATCACAATCAGTGTCATCATCATCCTAAGCATCATCGTCAGCATCTGCATCATCATCATCATCATCATCATCATCATCATCATCATCATCATCATTACAATCATCATGATCGCCATCATCATCATCATCATCATCAGCATCATCATCATCATCAGCATCATCATCATCATCATCATCATCATCATCATCAGAATCATCATCATCATCATCATCAGCATCATCATCATCATCATCCTCATCATCGCCATGATCATCATCATCATCATCGTCATCATCATCATCATCATCATCATCATCATCAGTATCATTATCATCACCATGGTCAGCATCAGCACCACTGGCATGATCATCGTCATCAGCATCAGCATCACCATCATCGTCATCAGTAGCATCATCATCATCATCATCATCATCATCATCATCAGCATCATCATCATCACCATCATCATCATCATCATCATCATCACCACCATCATCATCAGCAGCAGCATCATCGTCAGCATCGGCATCATCATCATCATCAGCAGCAACAACAACATCATCAGCCGCATCATCGTCAACGCCTTCATCATAATCCTCAGAATCCTTGTCCTCATCATCGTCATCATCATCACCATCATTCGAATCAGCGTCAGCATCATCATCAGCATCGTCACCACCATCATCATCATCATCATCATCATCATCATCATCATCATCATCATCATCATCATCATCGTCATCGTCATCGTCATCGTCATCGTCATCGTCATTATCATCATCATCATCATCCTCATCATCAGTATCATTATCATCACCATCGTCAGCATCAGCACCACTGGCATGATCATCGTCATCAGCATCATCACCAGCATCATAATCAGCATCAGCATCATCATCAGCAGCAGCATCAGCAGCATCGGCAGCATCATAATCGTCATCATCGTCACCAGCATTAGTATCAGCATCATCATCATCATCATCATCATCATCATCATAAGCAAGATTATCAGCGACATAGTCAGATTCAGAATCATCATCACCATCATCATCAGATTCGGCATCCGCATCATCATCAATATCAGCATCAGCATAATCATCACCATAATCAGCATCATCAGCATAATCAGCGTCAGTATCATCATCATCATCATCATCATCATCATCATCATCATCATCATCATCATCATCAGCATCCCCCTCCCCCTCCCCCTCCCCCTCCAACTCCTCATCCACCTCCTCCTCCTCCTCCTCCTCCTCCTCACCCGTTTCCCCATCGTCCTCCTCCTCCTCCTCCTCCACCTCCTCCAGTTCCTCCAACTCCCCCAACTCCTCCTCCACCTCCTCCTCTTCTTCTAATGTGTATTATTATTATTATTCTGAGTATTGTTTGTAGTATTGTTAGTCTTCGTCTTAGTATTAGTATGATTATTATTAGTATTGTTATTATTCCTTCTTCTTCTCATTATTAGTATTCCTCCTCCTCCTTATTATCCTCCTCCTCCTCCTCCTCCTCCTCCTCCTCCTCCTCCTCCTCCTCCTCCCCCCCCCTCCTTACCCGCCTCCCCTCCTCATCCTTTTCCTCCTGTGAACTCCTCCTGTTGATACTCCTCCTCCTCATCCTCCTCCTCCTCCACCTCCTCCTCCTCTCTCCACCCAACTCCTCCAACTCGCCCTCCAACTGTTCCTCCTCCTCCACCTTTTCCTCCTCCTCCTCCCTCCTCCTCTCTCCTCCTCCTCCCCTCCTCATCCTCCTCCTCCTCCTTTCCTCCTCCAACTCCTCCAATTCGTCCTCCAACTATTCCGCCGCCTGCTCTCTCCTCCGCGTCCTCCTCCTCAACTCCACTCCTCCTCCTCCTCCGCGCCTCCTCTCCTCCTTCCTCCTCCTCTCTCCTCATCAATCCCTCCTCTCTCTTACTTTTCCTCCTCCTCCTCCTTTTCCTCCTCCCCCTCCCCTTCCTCCTCCTCCTCCTCCGCCTCCTCCTCCTCCTCCGAGTCCTCCATCTCATCCTGCTCATCAACACAATCGTCCAACTCCTCCAACGCTGCCTCCTACAACCCCACTTATCCTGCTGATGTTACTCCTGCTCCTGCCTCCTAATCGCCGCTCCTTGTAGGTAGCTCTTTCCAATCGCACACCCAAACGCGTCGTCATGTGGCACTTCCTCACAACGTGCGATCCTGCAGCTCGAAAGTTGCAACGGATCCGCGCATGTGACGCTGGGCGCGGAGAGGGCGTGTCCTCAGGCCCTTCGCCAAAAAGAATATTGGCCCCCACTCCTGAAGAGCTTCAAGGAGCCCGGAACCCAAATTGCCAAATCTCCCGGGGCTTCCCGCGCGAACCCTTGTGACCCGTCGCGGGTTGTCGCATGACTGTCTGTTTCGGGCCCAAGCAGGCCCAAGGACCCAGGAGGCCTGCAAGAAGCCTCCCAAGAGGCCACATGTATTTATTTGATCGCCGTATTTTGCCAAGGGCTCAGACTGCTCGAGGGTTGGAACGAAGCAAGGGGAAGCTAGACTGGTTTGCTGCGACGCAAACTTGCTCAGGGTGCCAATAAAAAACGAGGGATTGGGCTGGCGTGGGCTGAACGAAGTACCTCGAGCATACAAGGCAGCATACACTTACAAGCATTATCATGGATCACTTGCATGATCGCCGTATGGTTCCAGAGGCTCAGACTGCTTGAGAATTCGAACGAAGCACGGGCACACTGTGCTGGCTTGCTGCGATTGCCAAACCACAACTGAAACGAACACCATCACTCAAGCAGTGTACTGGGGCCGAGCCCCGCATATGTTTCAATCTTTGGACGGATTACTGTGCAATGCACGACCTGTGCAAAGTGTCAGCAAGAAGGGCGCAGAGGGCAGGAGCATAAGCGTTCTTTAGCCGGGCGCCAAAAACACCCCCCGAAAAACCGGTGAGACCCATGCGAGGCTGTCCTGAGAAGGAGCACACCCCTCTGCCTCTGCACACGAAATTGTCTAAACCAACATGTGGGCAGCACCTTCAAGACCTCACGCGAACGCGCGCGCGAAAGGGGCGGCCACAAGCACAGCAATTGGTGACCGTATCGCAGACATCGGGAAGCTTAGCGAACGAACGGCGGCCGGGGCGAAGCCGTAAGAAACTGTGCCACGGATTCCCCGGGCCGCCAGGGATATTCAACTTATAACAGAGACGCTGGATTCGCTGCGAGATCCACGCTGCCCTGCCAGTTACCCCAAGACTCTCGAGGTCTTTACCCGCGAGGCCAGGAATCCCGAGAGGACAGGCGGGGCCCCTAAGAGACGAGGGCGTCTTGCTAGACGCGGGGGCGCGACGGGCCCTTGAGCATCCACTACAGGGCGCCAAGCCCCGAAGTCAACCAACCCCAACCTCGGAGGGCCCTCCAGACACCTGGGCGAGTTAGATCGAAATGGTCCCCGTGCCGAATGTCCCATTCTACGACAGCCTCACCTCTCTGCCTCAGATGTTTGCTCAGTTCACCACATCTCGAGAAGACTTCCACAAGCGCGCGGACCTGGCGGGAGGCGCTCCGAGAAGCAAAACCAAAAACCTGTTGAAGACGGCCGCGAAGTCTCTGCC